TGTGGGAAGCAAATGGCTATTAATCCCTACCCATGTTTATTTAATCATATCATTATATTCAACAGTCCAAATTTAACTTGCAACCATTATATGCTACAGGAAAAGTTTATTTCTGCTGCTTCCTTCTGCAGCGGTCACCACAACGAGCAAACTCACATAAAAGATTTGGCAATTGTTTTATACTGGATGCTCTTCCTCACTCAACCTGGGTTTGAACCTGCAACCTCCAGATTACAAAACTGCAACACTGACCACCAAGCTGCCACCCAAAGTGTATTAAACAAAATGTGTTTTACTAAATGCTGCTTTATAAGTTTTTTATATATTTTTAACTGTTTTATAACTATGCATCTTTTCTCATTTTCATTTATACAATTCCACAAACTAAATACTGATGTGCACATGATTTGCTTTGTCTGTACATCCATTCATTCATTTTTTTAATCCACTTTTCCTTTTCCAGACAGCTGGTGTCTACCTCCAGCTGTCACTGTGTAATACATGGGGTACAACCTGGACATGATGCAAGTTGTGCATACATGTGACATAATTTTATTTTAGTCTGAGAACAAAACACAACTTTATGGAGATTAAAATACCACTCGAAGCCAAACCAATAAAACAATAAGCAAAAACCCTATCCAAGTATATGTGCACCTACAACGGTTATTACAGAAAATGTATTTTTATGGTACGCTGTGAGTCTGCACTCAAACAGAAAACCAAGCAGCCGTCACCTTATCAGGACATGACAGCTGGTTGAGTCTGACAGCGAAGCGGGAACCTCCCATCCCACATGTTGATGATAATTAGACTCATGAAATGTGAACTGAGCTCAGCGGTAAGTTCTGCTGTCTCGAGCACTGCAGCTGCACACATGTGATGATGGAAACACTGTGCTGTGAGATATGTAGGCTCAGATGTGGTTATCAATTCATACACAGAGTATGTTGTTCTACATTATTTCTACAATATCATCAATGAACCAATTCTAAAGTGACTTTGATTCCAGTTTGCACAAATAAAAACTGTATTTTTCTAGCTTTTTTGAAGCCACAGTATTTCCTGCAAAGGGAAAGCATTTGGATTGATCATTTATCTATCAATCATGATAAAAAATATATATCTTAAAAAAAATGTTCCTGTAAATTAGACTCAGAGAAGGTGAAAGGATCTGATAGCTCAAGTAAGACCAGTAAAAAGTCTTGAGACCCTTACACTCAAAATGTTCACCCTGAGGGGTTTTTCTTTTTTTACGGCCTGAAGATGTAATATGATAGTGTATGTAGTATGATAGTGTCTAACTATAACATAACATTTCAAAGGACTGATGCATTTAAGCTAAAACACATGATAAAGTAGAGTGCTTTAATGCTAGAATACTTTGTGAAATACTGTAGCCTGGTTTGTCACATTTGACTCCAAAAGATTAAAACTGTAGCACAAAAATATTCTCACATCTTTCAAACGGTTGACGTCATTGTGGCCATGTCCATCTTGTTTATATGGTGTATGGCTGTATGGGGAAAGTGAATTCCAGGTCATCTGTAATACTTATGGGAGCTGACTCTTCTTTTAATAATAGATACATGCTTGAGCCTAAGAAAGGCTTAAAAGTTGGTTAGAATTGCCAATGAATCAGGAGTCTTCTTGATTCAATGAAAGGGCTCTGTTGTGCTGGATTGGAAGAGTGTTCCTCCTAAATCACAGACACTTCTAGTGAAGTGGTGAAGGCTGTGGATGTTTTCTGGTATATTTCCTGGAATGACAGGAAATAAGCCTGTACTTCAAGTAAGGGAGGCTCCTTGTACCCCTGGGGCACATACTGTACATATATTCAGGGCTGCCCTCATTTTTGTTGTAAAGAAATACGAAATCATGAACAAGACAGGACAGCATACTGGTATGGTTGTGCTTTAAAGTTGGAGTGAAGATATTGCCCTTTTCAGATAATAAAGAGCAAGGATGCGTACATCTTTGACCAAAAGTGACTGACAACAAATATTTCCAGGCCAAACGTCATATTTTAAAGTAAAAATACATTCAGTACCATGATTCAGTATTGTTTTATATAGATTTTTAAAAAATTATTGGAGCACACAAACAGTTAAGTTTATAAACTGCAAACTTTTCTGGTCATTATCAACAACAACAAAATTAATAAATTGGGGGGGAAAAAAGGAGTACAGAAACGCAGTACTGAGCAGCCACACCATTGGCAAAGAAAAAAAGCTTTAGAAAGCTTAAGGAAAGCTTTAGCTGTAAGACAAAAATACTTGTTTTTTCAGGAGCTATAGCCTGAGTTATTGCATACAATGCAGGTCATGCTCTCCAGCATTATAGCCTCAGGTGCTGCTGTGGAGGTGAACTAACAGCTGTGGAGATATGTTGCAAGGCCTCAATTCCTCCAAAATGTAGCTGATGGTAAAACTTCAAAGGCTGCAGTGTTTTCCCTCTGGATGAGCAGCACACAAACACGAGTGATAAGCTCTGAGAGGCCAAATTCTGAAGAATTTCAATCAAGTAAGAAACAAAAAAGATGAGAACATCTCTCACTATTGTTACTCCAACCTAGTGGGAAAAAATCTGGATACTACTGAAAGGAATGTTACATTTAGCATGTCTATGTGTAAAAAAAGTCAACATAGTGTGCTTGTTTTGCATGCACTCATTAAAGGTTATGCATGATGATGATGCTAATGACAACATCCAAACCAAAACTTGTTTTCAGAGTCATCAAAATAGAAATGCTGATCTATAATTTAATCACTGTTGGGGTTCTTTAACACTTTTGGAACAGCTGTAATCCATTCATACAATATGTTTAGGGTAATAATTCACTAAATGAATCATCCGTCCATCTAGCCATCCATTATCTTCCGCTTGTTCTGAAATCGGGTTGCAGGGGCAGCAGGGAGGCCCAGACATCTCTTTCCACAGCCACCTCTTCCAGCTCTTCTGGGAGGACTCCAAGGCGTTTCCAGGCCAGTTGAGAGACATATTCTCTACAGCGTGTCCTGGGTCTTCCCTGGAGTCTCCTCCCAGTCAGAAACGCCCCAAAGCACCTCCCTAGGGAGGCACCCAAGAAGCATCCTTACCAGATGCCCAAACTGTCAAGGCTCGAGGAACCCAGATGGAGCGAAACCAGAAAAGACAAGACTTGGTTAGAAAACGTAGTGATGTTTATTATATACAGTGTCTATTTACAGTGGTTCATCCTTGGGGAATCCTGAAAGAGAGAGTTGAGTAAGTGGAGTCCAGTTGCGGTTCTTAATCTCTTTGTTTTGTTTTTCCTTACAGATGGTGAAGCAAGAGTTTGGCGAGAACGTCTAGTCACCAGGGTTGATCCAAAGGGAAGGCTGAACACTGCTGGAAGGACAGGCGTATGGCTGGAAGGCGAGGCACGGAGAACATGAACCAGGACCATGGAACTCTGAGTCCAAACGGGAGCCAAGAAAACAGGAGGACTGTAGACACAGAAACAAAGGTAAGTACTTCTCATAAAC